ATTTGGACATTCAAAGATGATGTGGTTTTCCGATTCCGGTATTTGATAGGTGTCACACAGGTTTATTGATGCTATGTATACCCTTCACCACACTGTGGTACAGGGTATTATGTCTTTGTGCATATGTTTGTAACAGGCGAATATAATCGAGTTAGACCCATGGTTTCTTTTGAGAATATGCATAGAATCACTTTCTGAGTCGATTTATGCATGTCCGTCTGTCCGTCCGTCCGCCAGTCCGTCCATGTATTTTTGTTAACAAAGTAGCTCCCATATATAGTTTCGTCTGATTTTAGGTAAATGGTGAACCAAAGTCCCTACATATCATTCGAATTGCATGAAATTTGGCACAGAGTACTGAATTAGGTGCAGAATGATGTGTGCCAAGTTTCGAGAAAAACGGTTCAGATTTAGATATAGTTCCCGTATATAGTTTCGTCCGATTTAAGGTAAATGGTGCACCAAAGTCCCTATATATCATTCGATTTGAACGAAATTTGGCATAGAGTACTGACTTAGGTACAGAATGATGTGTGCTAAGTTTCGTGAAAATCGGTCCATATTTAAATATAGCTGCCATCATGGACGTACGCAGGGGGCGGACCGGACCCCCCCTGATTTGAATTTTTTCTACAGTAAATTTATGTTTGCAACAGCGAATTTGTTCATTTTGGTTCAGAATTACATATAGCTCTTATATATACTTTCGTCCGATTTTAAGTAAATGGTGTACTAAAGACCCATAGCTAGGCCGATTGGCAAAACGTACTGAAATTTATATAAATTAATCTCGGCCAAGTTTCCTTGAAATCGGCCCAGATTTAGATATAGCATAGCTTCCATATATAATTTCGACCTATTCATGTTGATTGTAAACCAAATAATCAATAGGTGCTTAATTGATATTACATTTTAAATAGTGAAGCATACCAAATAGCGTGCGTAAAGTTTGCTTAAAGTCTATTTACAAAGTAAGGAATAGATTGCGGAATGGCATGTGTAAGGATTGACGTTAGTCGGTTTATTTTTATATATATATATATATATATATCGCTTTGGAAGTTCGTTCAATTTCATGCCAATGTTCCTTCGAAAATACGACATCTGTAAAGATACACATGTAGAATATCCCCAAAGTGGTGATAGTCGGCCCAATCCGACTTTACTACTTTCCTTACTGGTTTTATTTTGCCGTATGTGTGTCCGCTATACAGCCTGTTAAAAACCAATTGGCTTTTGGGAGATTTGGGAAGAATTGAGCAAAGTAAGTACCTTTCTGTTGCGACAACTCTTTGTACTTATCATTCCATTCGTCCCATAGAGGACGATATAAGCGCAAAAAGGCGTAACTAAAAAAAGCATAATTATGTAGGAGAAGCAAAAAACTGTTTTGAATGAAAACTATAAACATGTAAAAAAAAGTATGCCCGGCAGGGTGATATTGCATATGACGAATAATAGACTATAATAACAATTAAGTAAAAACGTGAATTTTTTGTTAGTTACGCCTTTTTGCATTTATCAAATAAACCCACTTGTAGTTACGTCTTTTTGTTTTTTGTTAATAGAAGCTCCTTTTTTTGACCGCAGACGTGTAAAACTTTGACAACACATGTAGTTTATTGACATTCACAATATTCATTCAAAAAGTCAATTTTCAATTTGTTGTTAGTTACGCCTTTTTGCATTTTAGCTAACGATATGCATCTTTGATGGATAATTTATTTGGTATAGAACATCCAGCATAAACTGTGTGCTTGGCGAAGTGATCTGCCCTTTCATTAGCAGGAATTCCAATAAATGAAGGTAATTGAATATTAGAGTTGTTTATTTTGCCAACTATAATGTTGGCCAGGTAGTTGTTTACATCGTTGTTTTTTATTACGAGACAGGCATTTTTACTGTCCGTTAAAATTGCTGCTTTTTGAATACCATCTTCGATTATGATATCAATTGATTTATTGTTTGCGTGAAGCTCCCCCATGAGCTATGACGTTTTTCCGTCTAATTTAAAAAGAAAAATTTCCCCTGAGGAGATATTGCATGCAGCGCACCCGGCTCCATCATCCATTATAGAGGCATCCATTGCCCAAATAGCCCAACCTATAGATCTTAAATCATTTATTTTCTCTTGTACGATAGATTTGAAGTATTCACTTAGCAGATTGGATTTCTTAGATCGAAATATGTCTAGAAGTAGAATGATTTTTTTGATGGAACTTCTAGATTATTTAGGGTAATATTGTCGAAGATGTTGGCTTCATTTATTGTAAAAGAATAAAGGAGAACGGCGTCCAAATTCAAGTTTGACTCTGATATTTCTTTACAAATTGACATTTCACACAAAGACAACTTAACATGCCAGGCCTGGATTCTCGTATGCGTTTCCCCCTTTAAGTTTATGACTATGTTGGCGGTCCAATTCCCACAATGTAACACCAAAAAATCTACCTATGCCGCTACATAGCAAGATCAAGTTGTCGACGATTGAAAGTTTCCGTTTTTTGTAAGTGAAAACATGATATTGCGGTGGTGGCCATACCATCATATCGTCCACTTTCTAAATAAGTCACAAGTCTATGCGGTCACACTTAATTATTTCCTAATAATTTAAAAAAAAAATCGACAGTCAACTAAACCGGCTACAGATAGGATGGGGAAACCAATGCCAAAACCAGTAGTTTTAAAGAAAAGCAAAACCAAACATCCCCGCTAGGTTAGTGGTATGGAAATGATGTTGCTCGTTTGGTAAGTCACACCCAATCAAATCCTGACAACAAACATTTTTGGTTGTGTTTGTTTCCTGTAGTGTGAATGTAGACAAATTTGTTGACGGCACACTTTAAGTACTTCCTGCGGACATAACGTCATTTGATGGGGGGATGGTACAAAGTTTTTAAGAGTTCTCTACAAGACGACAATAACTGAACTTTAATTAAAAATCCACGTCTGTAGTACGTTGAAATCCTTTTTAGTATACGCTTATAGCTCTTTTAGTCCTACATTGATGTTTGGTATTGAAAATGGGATATATCAGTCCCCTATAAAGGTACGACCAATATTCGGTATATTTTAAAAATTATGGGCACATTTTTCAACTGAATTGACTGTTTTTGTATTTTTTTTTTAATTTGGATTCTTGTTGTGTGTCAAACCTTCTCCCTGCTTACTGCAATGGATATTCTTATAAAAAGAAATAAAAATATGTTTTAGAAGAGTGATAGAAAAAACCTTTTTTAAGTGGGGTACATTCGGCCATATACAGAAAGTGCTATATTATTTCCTATAAATGTTTGTCTTTAAAAATAATCCTTCAATATGGTTCGAAATTACATATACACCTGGTGGTCAAAACTCAAGGATGAATTAAAGTAAAATATTAAAGACTCCGACATTAAAAAAAATTACCATGAGAAAGTCCAAAAATTAAAGGCTCATGCCACAGTATTGCAAGGTTACTAGAAAGCATGAAGGGCTGTTTTTCTCTTTATGGAGTTCGGTAGTCAAAAATCAGGGTTTTATAAAGGCTAACACAATCCTCAGATCTTTAGCATATAGAAAAATCTTTGGAGTATCATAGATAGAAAAATCAAAAGAGTTTCGCATAACCTCTTCCCAAAGCTTCAGTATGCAAGGAATCAAATTGAGAATACCGCGTAGGTGTACTGCCGTATCGACAAATAATGGTTATGCTGTCGATTACTAGCTGGTTATTGGTTATTTATAAGAAAAAATAAAAAAAGTTGCTTTAGTTTTGATCATGCAACAATTGGGTCAATTTAGTTCCCTATAGAATTTTTAATTTAAAAAAAAAAAACAATGCCTTTATATATTTTTTTTTTTTTTTGTTTATTAAAAATGAATAATTTATCTATTTATTTCTGAGAAAAAACTTTCACTACAGCTTTATTTTCAAAAAGAGTTACAGGCCATTTATTTAGTTTGCAATTTTAGTTGCTTTAGTTTTGGCCACCAATGTACGAGTATAAGAACAAACGTGCTTCGATTGACGAAAATGCGATAGAAAAAAAGCTATCGCTGATAGTGTGTGTGTGGCCTTGAGGCGTCCGCCGCTAGAAATATACCGATAAAAATCAAACTTTGAGTCGCATATTTAAGGGGACCCCTCCCATTCTCGGGGTTACAAAATTTTTGTTGATATAATTCGAATCTACACTAATTCAAGAATGTCCCAACAAAATTTCAAGTGAAAATCTCAAGAACTCTTGAAGATAAAGCCGATTTATTCTGTCAGCAGCAAGTGACGGCTTAAGGTCTTCTCAAACTTTAAACGCGTTTTTCACTAAACGAATGGCGGGCACGATAACTCAAAAACTAATAACCCCATCGATTCCAAATTTTTGCACATTTCTCTGTGAGTGTATAGCTATCGTATGAACTAGGATAAAGCCAATCGGTGAAGAACTTCCTTATTTTTTAACTGCATATGCAAAGTTACATACCTTAACAAGCATTGGTATTGATTTACCAGCCCTTTGAAAATCTTGAAAAATTAAAATCGAGAATGGGGGGTTTCCTTAAACAAAATATTACCTTCAGAGAATCTAAGCACAAACCAGACTGACTGATTACCAGGCTATGCCTATGGGTGCAGAATATGCCCCATCAAATGCCAAAGCTATGCCGGGTAGGGGCACTTTCAGCGAATTTCACTTTTTTGACAAAACTCTAAAAATATTTAACTAATACAAATTTATCATATGTTTGTAGTATAAGTACTGAGATATAGAGCTCAAAAAAGTGCCGAATGTGTCTCCGTCTCCCCTAATCACTAAGTGAAGTGTGATGTTTGCGCAAAGTTAATTCGAAATTGTCCATTAAAATAAAATAACTTTATGTTTAATATTTTTTCAATTTATTTTTTAAAGGTTTCGTTTTCAATAATAATAATATTGATATGGATATGGCAATGTTGAAATTGGAGCATAATGATTAGTCGGTGGAAGACCATACATAGCAGGTGGAGGAGGCCTATAGGCATGACCACCAGGGGGACCATAATAATAATAAGAACTTGGATAATTGGAATATCTAGTAGCAGTAGTAGTGTTCGTACCAGTCTTATCGGTATTAGTAGTACCGGTAGTAGTAGTATCGGTATTAGTAGTACCGGTAGTAGTAGTACCGGTATTAGTAGTACCAGTATTACCGGTATTAGTAGTACCAGTATTACCGGTATTAGTAGTACCGGTATTAGTAGTACCAGTATTACCGGTATTAGTAGTACCAGTATTACCGGTATTAGTAGTACCAGTATTACCGGTATTAGTAGTACCGGTAGTAGTAGTACCGGTATTAGTAGTACCAGTATTACCGGTATTAGTAGTACCAGTATTACCGGTATTAGTAGTACCGGTATTACCGGTATTAGTAGTACCGGTATTAGTAGTACCAGTATTACCGGTATTAGTAGTACCAGTATTACCGGTATTAGTAGTACCAGTATTACCGGTATTAGTAGTACCGGTATTAGTAGTACCAGTATTACCGGTATTAGTAGTACCAGTATTACCGGTATTAGTAGTACCAGTATTACCGGTATTAGTAGTACCAGTATTACCGGTATTAGTAGTACCAGTATTACCGGTATTAGTAGTACCGGTAGTAGTAGTACCGGTATTAGTAGTACCAGTATTACCGGTATTAGTCGTACCGGTATTAGTCGTACCGGTATTACCGGTATTAGTAGTACCAGTATTACCGGTATTAGTCGTACCGGTATTAGTAGTACCAGTATTACCGGTATTAGTAGTACCAGTATTACCGGTATTAGTAGTATCGGTATTAGTAGTACCGGTATTACCGGTATTAGTAGTACCAGTATTACCGGTATTAGTAGTATCGGTACCAGTATTGCCGGTATTAGTAGTACCAGTATTACCGGTATTAGTAGTACCAGTATTACCGGTATTAGTAGTACCAGTATTACCGGTATTAGTCGTACCGGTATTAGTAGTACCAGTATTACCGGTATTAGTAGTACCAGTATTACCGGTATTGTACCGGTATTAGTAGTACCAGTATTACCGGTATTAGTAGTACCAGTATTACCGGTATTAGCAGTACCAGTATTACCGGTATTAGTAGTACCAGTATTACCGGTATTAGTAGTACCAGTATTACCGGTATTAGTAGTACCAGTATTACCGGTATTAGTAGTACCAGTATTACCGGTATTAGTAGTACCGGTATTAGTAGTACCAGTATTACCGGTATTAGTAGTACCAGTATTACCGGTATTAGTAGTATCGGTATTAGTAGTACCGGTATTAGTAGTACCAGTATTACCGGTATTAGTAGTACCGGTATTAGTAGTACCAGTATTACCGGTATTAGTAGTACCAGTATTACCGGTATTAGTAGTACCAGTATTACCGGTATTAGTAGTACCAGTATTACCGGTATTAGTAGTACCAGTATTACCGGTATTAGTAGTACCAGTATTACCGGTATTAGTAGTATCGGTATTAGTAGTACCGGTATTACCGGTATTAGTAGTACCAGTATTACCGGTATTAGTCGTACCGGTATTAGTAGTACCAGTATTACCGGTATTAGTAGTACCAGTATTACCGGTATTAGTAGTACCGGTAGTAGTAGTACCGGTATTAGTAGTACCAGTATTACCGGTATTAGTAGTATCGGTATTAGTAGTACCGGTATTACCGGTATTAGTAGTACCAGTATTACCGGTATTAGTAGTACCGGTATTAGTAGTATCGGTACCAGTATTGCCGGTATTAGTAGTACCAGTATTACCGGTATTAGTAGTACCAGTATTACCGGTATTAGTCGTACCGGTATTAGTAGTACCAGTATTACCGGTATTAGTAGTATCGGTATTAGTAGTACCGGTATTACCGGTATTAGTATTACCGGTATTAGTAGTACCGGTATTAGTAGTATCGGTACCAGTATTGCCGGTATTAGTAGTACCAGTATTACCGGTATTAGTAGTACCAGTATTACCGGTATTAGTAGTACCAGTATTACCGGTATTAGTAGTACCAGTATTACCGGTATTAGTAGTACCAGTATTACCGGTATTAGTAGTACCGGTATTACCGGTATTAGTAGTACCAGTATTACCGGTATTAGTCGTACCGGTATTAGTAGTACCAGTATTACCGGTATTAGTAGTACCAGTATTACCGGTATTAGTAGTATCGGTATTAGTAGTACCAGTATTACCGGTATTAGTAGTATCGGTACCAGTATTGCCGGTATTAGTAGTACCAGTATTACCGGTATTAGTAGTACCAGTATTACCGGTATTAGTAGTACCAGTATTACCGGTATTAGTAGTATCGGTATTAGTAGTACCGGTAGTAGTAGTACCGGTACCAGTATTGCCGGTATTAGTAGTACCGGTACCTGTAGTACCGGTATTAGTATTACCTGTACCAGTAGTACCGGTACCAGTATTACCAGTGGTACCACCTGTACCAGAGCCAGTACCAGCACCTCCTGTACCAGAGCCAGTACCAGCACTTCCTGTACCAGAGCCAGTACCAGCACCTCCTGTACCAGAGCCAGTACCAGCACCTCCTGTACCAGAGCCAGTACCAGCACTTCCTGTACCAGTACCTCCTGTACCAGTACCTCCTGTACCAGTACCTCCTGTACCAGTGCCTCCTGTACCAGTACCTCCTGTACCAGTACCTCCTGTGCCAGCGCCTCCCGTACCAGTACCAGCACCTCCGGTACCACTTCCTCCTCCGATACCAGCATCCTTAATAGCCTGTGTTATCAGCGGTAGAAGATCTTTGAGAGTTTCCTGCGGTGATTTTGTAGTAGCAACATCTGGCGTTGTAGTCGGTGGCGGCGGCCTTCCACCATATTTATGTTTATGAAAAAAATGATGTACAAATGTTCGATAATCAGTATTCGCGCCGTCGAATAATACAGTCGAAAAGACACAACTTGTGGTTAATAGAACCAAAGCGAACGTACACAACAATCTTCGAAATGACATCTTTCTAGTTCAGTTGACAGTTATAGAATGAGTTTTCCAAATTCGATATTTCCCTATTTATACAATAAATGGAGTTAGCCATCACCTATAATTTGATCCGAACAGCATGTAAAGATTAGTTCAATGAAGATTTTCACTTTTTTATTGGATTTTTTTGATGGTCTGCTTTTATGATCGTCTTTCAAGATGTTATTTGAATATTTTTCAATAAAGAGGAAAACACATTTGAGGCTTATACTAAAAAGGGCTGCTTGGAGAAGGGGGAAGATGCACAGGTTAAGCAAAATTTGTGATGTTTTTTTGTTATTTGATACCGACGCGTAGGCTTAAAAAATGGAAGGCACGTGTAATGAAAGGTCAAAAAACTTTTTCATTGCGATATGTGCTCTAAGCGGTAACCCAGAAATAACTTCGTTGCATTTCTGTGTGGAACGAAGTGCCGAAACCCATCGGAAATGTTTCCACCAACTATTCAATAAAAAATCAACTATCCCAAAAATAAGATTGTAAAGTCTAGGTAATTTTTACGTCTTCCAAAATGTATTGAAAATTAAAAATCTTGTTTTTTGATTTCCATCCGCGCCGGACTTGTGCGCAGCTCATCCTATTTGAATGACCATCTTTCGAGATGTTGTCTTCCACTTGATCTTTATATCGAATTCGTGGCCTTCCCCTTCTGCTTGAAGCATGACTTGACTCGCTTTTATATGCCTTTTGAGCTGGGGCATCCTCATCCATTCTCACAACATGACCTAGCCAACGTAGGTCATGCAGCTCGATTCGTCTGGCAATGCCGATGTCCGAGAATAGATGGTACAACTCATGGTTCATTCGACGGCGATATTCACTGACAATGCAGATCGGACCATATATCTTTCGGAGAATTTTGCTCTCAAACACTCCAGGAGCTGCCTCATCTGCTTGCGTAAGTACCCATGTTTCAGATCCATACAACAGCACGGGTAGTATTAGCGTCTTTTCTTCGCTGGATTTCAAAACCGATGTTATTAGTTTTGCTTATGGAGGTACCGAGATATATCAAATTATTCAAACTTCGAAGCTGTAGTTTTCAAGTTCCACAGGTCCGAGCTTACTGGAAGTCTTGCGCCATTTACTGTCATTCCCACTTTGGCAGACTCCTTCTCAATTCGTTCAAAGGTGGCTGTTACCGCTCTCAATGTTCGACCCATTATGTCGTCGGCGTAGGCTAGTAACAGGTGTTGTTTGGTGTACAGAGTCCAGCAGGATGTTAAATGTTTATTTCACAAGAATGCCGAACGCAGATGCGACTTTAAACACCTCTGAGCGGATTGTGCTGCCGAATGCGGCTTTATAGTCGACGTATATGTGGAATATGTCGAGGTTTTTTTCGTGGTGTTTTTCAGGATGTACTGGGAAGAAGACATACTTCTTCCTTTATAGTTGTCTCCTTTTCGGGGTTCCAATCATTGAGCATGCATTCCTCTAGCCATATTGTACTAATCGGCTGGTAATCCATCGGTACCTGCCATTATATTATTCTTCATATTGGCTAGGTGGTATACAATCTTTACCGTCATCTCTAATTGGCTCTGAGGTATCTTCTTCACTGTTACTATTTGATAGCAGAAGCTTTGCAAATTGCTTCTTCCAGATCCTCAACACGCTATCTGTATCTATCACCAGCTTTCCTTCTTCATTCCTACAGGAGGATGTGCCTGCACCAAAGCCGTTGGTTTGGTGTTTTAATTTTCGGACTTCATTCTGACTCCTTTAACCGAATTTCCGATAACAAACCCGAAACGAGATAGACACACGGTTCCGTTTGAGAATATCAATAGAATCACTTTCTGAGTCGATTCATGCATGTCCGTCGTCCTTCTGCCTGCCTGTCCATGTTAAAATCTAAACAAAGTATAGGTCGCATTTATAATCCGACTTGGATGAAATTTGGCACAGTTAATTTATTTGGCCCAAGCACGAACCCGATTGAAATTCGTCCGATTTAATGTGAATAGTGTACCAAAGCCCCTGTACTTCTTTCGATTTTCACGAAATTCTGCATAGCGTACTGAATTAAGTCTAGAAAGAGGCGTTTTAAGTTTCGTGAAAATCGATTCAGATTTAGATATAGATTTAAAAATTTCGCATAGCGTACTGAACTAAGTCTAGAATGACGTGTGCTAAGTTTCATGAAAGTTGGTTCAGATTTAGATATGGCTCGATTTATATATAATCCTAGACAATATGAAGCCAACAGGTCGAAGCGTAGAAGTCTTGGTTTCGCTCGGTTTCCCTTTGGTATAAAAATATTAAAACAATGATTATTGTCCGTTCCCAACTGAAGATCGGTTTCTATAGGTAACAATTTCACAGACCCTCAAGTCAGTGTTTTGGTTTTTTTTTCTATTGAAATAATTTCCCTCAGGTCGGTGTTTTTTATATAAAAAATCACACCACCTCAGTGTAATATTGTTTATACCCTCATAGATCTTCAGATCGAAGTCGGTGTTTTATTCTATAGACAAAAATTTCACAGACACTTAGATCGATGCTTTTTTTCTATAGAAAAAAATATAAACCCTCACGACGGGTTTATTTTCTAGAAATAATGATCCTCACCTTGATATTTTCTTCTATAGAAACCAATTTTCATTTTTCTCCTCAGGTTGATATTTTCTTCTATAGGAAACATTTTTATAAAGAAAACTTTTTTTTCGAAGGACCTGAGTTCGGTGTTTTTATAGAAAATACTTGAGAGACATTGATCTCGTATATCTATACATCTAATTTTGAGTACATATATAAAACTCTGATACCTATATACAAAAAAAAAACTCAGGAGAGAGCCATTTTTTAAAGAATTACAGCGGCAAATTCAATAGGTACAAATGTACCACGTTTACTTTTTTGGTAATTGACCTAACCCTATGGTCAATAAGTGAAGTAAAAATATAATAAAAAACCCCAGCTATAATTTTGCACAGCAGTGTATGTAATCACAGTTGACTATCATACGATGACAGATTTAAATGTGTTCATTATTTGGCGAACACTTCGAATAGTTACAAAGACCGCGGACCACTAATCATACACCAGTGATTCATCATGAAGAGTAAACCATAACGAATACACACACACATGCACATATGTACATAATAAGAAATCAAACATGAATTTCGATGATAGCAAAAAATAAATTTTATAAACAACAACAAGTCATGCTGTACATACATAAGTGTGGATGTGTGTGTGTTTAAACAATAAATAAAGTAATGAAATACGCATAGCAGAAATGTTTTGCGATCAGAGTCTATGGCCGCTCAATTTTAAACAAACACAACGTAATAATGAATTATACGAGCATACCATACCGTTCCTAAAGTATGGATTTTATTAATGTGGTACTTATTGTTTGCTCAATACATCTTTCGATGTACTTTATGGAATCTTCACACCGAAAATGGTATCCAATTTACACTGTGAAACAAAATAGAGGACATGGTCTATGAGTTGGAAAATTCATTTTGGCTATAAAACACCTTGGTGACTATATGAAACATCCAGAATGAAAAAATTCGCCACAGGTCAAAGTTCGGAGATATGGCGTGTTAATATTTTTTATACGCTTCACCACACTGTAGGGCAGGGTATTATGTCTTTGTGCATATGTTTGTAACAGGCGAAAGGAAACCAGATAGACACATGATTCCTTTTGAGAATATGCATAGCATCACTTTCTGAGTCGTCCGTCTGTCTGTCTGTCCAATTCGGATCATAAATGGGACCTGCATTTTTTTACAAATGCAATTGGATGAAAATTGGCACAAATCTTTTACTTGGCCCAAGGACGAACTTAATTGAAATTGGAAAAAATTGGTTCAGATTTAGCTAAAGCTCCCATATATATTTTCGTTCGTGATGCGTGTTAAGTTTCGTGAAAATCGGTTCAGATTTCGATATAGCTCCCATATATATTTTCAATCGATTCTATGTTAATGGAGCACCAAAGTCCCTATATATCTTTCGATTTGCACTAAATTTGGCATAACATACTGAAATAGGTGTCGATTCGGGAAAATCGGTTCAGATTTAAATAAAGCTCCCATAAATATATTATGGTGCAACAAAGCCGCTACATTTCTTTCGATTTGCACGAAATTTGACGAAGCGCACTTAATTTATTGTAGAATGATGTGTACTACGTTCCGTGAAAATCGGTTTAGATTTAATATAGCTCTCATATATATTTTCTTCCGATTTTATGTAAATTGTGCACTCAAGACTACAGTTTGTCCGACTGGCTCACAATTTTTATACAATGTGCTTAGATTAGTATAAATTAATCTCTGACAAGTTTCGTTCGAATCAGTTGAGATTTAGATATAGCTCCCATATGTATGTTCGTCAGGTTTTAGATAAATGGTGCACCAAACTTCTATTGTTTGTGTGATTGATTCAAAATTTTGCACAACGTATCATATTGAGACTAGAATGACGTTATTGAGTTTTGTGGAAATCGGTGTTAATAAGATTGTAAGTTGGGACCTCAATCGATATTGTAACGTTTTAATGGTCTATTGTCAATTTTAGCCGTCTCTTGTCACTAAACCCCTATATTTATGAATTCCTTATTATGTACAACTGTCGGATTCGTCCAAATTATTTTCATAAACAGCTATAGCTATGCCAAATACGCCATAAAAATAAATTTCGAAGAAAAAAGAACCGGGTTTCTAAATTCTTGAACTGGTTATTCAAGAAATAAAACCGGTTTCAATACCTTATATACACATCATTAACTGAACTGGACTATTATCGGTTTTATTATCTGAATATTCGGTTTGTTTTTTTACCCGAATCTTGGATTTTCCTCCAAATAGACGTATTTGGCAAAACTATATATATTTTGAAAATAATTTGAACGAATCCGATAGTTCTATTGAACTATTGAGATTCATACATATAGGGTTTTGGTATGATCATTTTATATTTAATCCAAACTTTATAAATCGTAATATTTTTTTTCAAAGCTAAATCAAGTTCGAAAATGGGAAATATTAGTCCGATTTTTTGTAGACCGTCTGGCGTTCAGAGAATACCTGAGCACCACAGGATCTGGTGGTGCACCTGTTGGAACTCTCTCGTTGGGGCCAAGTTGTTGATTGTATTTTTTGTACCTTGTACTTTAGAATGATAATTGCCGAACCTTTGACTTCAAAAATAAAAGTAATAAAAAATCAAATCTCCAAAGTAGCATATGTTTGCGAACCTCTGTTTCAGAAGTGTCTTCATCGATGGCCAAGAGCAAAAAGGAATGAACTTTCGCCCACTTTTCTTTTCTGACAAGGAATCGCCTTAAGATAGGCGATTCCTTGTCAGGACTCCGAAGACCATCATTATAATTTAATTGCCAAGCATTCTTTAAAAATGTAATGACCATGGCACACCACAAAACAGCGTTTTTACGATTGGCGGGCACGATAACTCAAAAATGATTAATCCAATCGGTCCCAAATAACACGTTATTCCTGACCTACATTGCTATCCAATCGATGACGATTTTACAGCTTGGTTTTTGGTCCAAAATATGAGATTTTCGCTAATTTTCGAGCGAAATCAATATTCCTAGTTCATATTAGAGAACCCTTTCTAATAGCAGCTACGGGATAATGCAATTCGGATACCGCCTAATCCAATTTTAATCCTCCTGGGTGTGATTCTAACCCTCTAATCCCAGTCCTAGAATCACCAATAGGGAAATATGCCCACTCAACCATAACCGCAACCTACTATTTTTAATACTTGTTAGCACTGTAAACGTGTTTAAACTCTGTGGTGGATACACCTTCTTAAATATTTTGCAATATTTTCTAACTAAACTTCATTGCAAACAATTTTTACTGCACGAAAAAAAAAACAGTTTTACATTTGTTTTTAATTTATTGTTTTACAAGTTAGGATTGGGGGTACAAGTTCGGCAATAATAATTAGAAAAGAAAATTAGAAAGAATAGGGATAATATTGTGGCGACAAATTATAAACAGGATAGTTGAAATATCTTTGGGCACCACCAGTTGCACTTCTAACGCCAATATTAAGACCACCAGTTGAACCTCCAGAGCCAATATTAATACCACCAGTTGTATCTCCAGTACCACCAGTTGTACCTCCAGCGCCAATATTAATACCACCAGTTGTACCTCCAGTGCCACCAATTGTACCTCCAATACCACCAGTTGTACCTCCAGTACCACCAGTTGTACCTCCAGCGCCAACATTCGCACCACCTCCAGTAGTACCTCCACCTCCATTAGCCAGTCCAGCTATTGCAGCTACTAGATCCGTTAATTCCTTTTTCAAATCCTCTGCAGCTGGAGCCTTAGTGGTGATCAGCACGCACATGTGATCAGTGACTAAGTTGCAGAATACCCCATGGACAATATGATTATAATGTATGATTTTTCGATATAATCACTGCATCCACCCAAAAAGGATGCTGACATTTTGAAGCCAGATTTTCGGTGTTTTTTGAATTTTTCTTATATTTAGGATGCGCATCCAGATAATGGACTAAACTAATTATAGGATTGTAGAACTCGTGATTTTGCTTCGTTTAGTGTATATCTCATGAATGTGCTCACCGTAGCTTCTTTGCAATTGGGTTCCAAAGACGAAAATTTGGTGCGTACATTTTTATAAAAAAACATATTTTTTGAGTCTAAAATTAAGAAAGTCCATTCAAATCCCGTGGAACCCCGCGTGATTTTAGTTTTTTTACGTGCTGGATCTAATGAGCCCATCCATGTTCAATTCCGCCCAATAAAACGGCGGATATAGGTACCTTGAATGTGGGAAAAACTGCAAAAACTTATTTTGACAAATTCGCGTATATAATCGCGTTTTTCTTCGAATTGATTTTACATACATTCATCATTGTGTTATCATATTCGCGAATCTGTGTGAAAATAGGTCAAAAATATATCGATACGCGAATAATATGCGTATTTTATCCAAAATCGATTGTGGAGGCACATCCGCGGTTCTTAACCGATCCTTTTAAAATAGGTGTCCTTTTGTGTATTTTCATAGGAGATTACTGAAATCGGATGCGCATACAAATCGTATGCACGTTGCGTGATTTTTAGCCATTTTTAGGGTTTTTGCATAGTAAAGTGCATCGAGCGGCACACTTTGACCGCTAAATTAAACATCGAAAAAATTCATATTTATTGAAAGACATTGATTCGGTTTATACGAAAACCGCATGCGCATCAACAGATTTCAACTAATACGCGAATTGCATGCTTTTAAATGTTGGTAATTTGTATGTATTGTAACTGCAATATATTTAGTCATTTTTACAGTCGAAACTGTTATCAGATGAATATACCGATATTTAACAATCATCTAAAAAATTTGAAGAAAAAAGCGTCCCTTAAACATACTAAAAAAATCGAAAATTCAAAAAACATTTCGATTTAATTAAAAAATTATTTTATTTTATTTTGAGATATCTTCATGCTTCTATTTGTTTTTCGCGACAATTTAACCGGAATTCAATGTGATTTGACAAGTATGCAAAGAAAACAAATGTGTTTAACCATTTGTGAAGAAATTCGCGAATTACAACAAATAGGAATTAATTTAATTTATATTTGAAATACAAGATTTAAAACCGCTATAACTTTTGTGCGCAGCATCCGAATTTGTGAACGCGTACATATTTCGAATAAGCATTTTTTTCTTAACCTATGTACCAAAAATCATGAATGTGCTCGCAAAAAAAATTTTCAATTTTTTTTTTTGGAATTTTAAAAGAATTTTGTAATTTCCCATATGTATGTCACAATAAAAGTGAACCACATTACAGAAAATAATTTTTAATTCAAACTTTCAGGAGCTTGGTTGCAAACGAAGTTGGAATGAAAAGACGAAAAAGGTAATGTTTGGAAAAAATCAGATGATTTCATATATTAGGTAAGCGAAAAGGAAATCCATTATTTTATAGGACTTTATTTAACATGCTTCGGAATGTCCGATTTGGGACAAATATGCACCGTTTTTTTGTATGATTTATTGCCATTTTAACGTCACTGTAGATGCGTGTGGTCTAGCGTTGTTCTGGTGGAATACGACACCTCTCCTGTTGGCTAATTCTGACCGTTTCTGGTCAGAATGTTTTAAAAACAGTTTAATGGCCGATTCATTTCTCCGATTTTATTGACATTTTCGATGATGTGCATCTTTAACATCAAAAATTCCTGAACGGAATCTTCGAAACCATTTTTCCATTTCCATTTTTAACACTCTGTCACCCTTCCAGCAAGCATAAATTCGAAATTGTTTGATCGATCATTTACGAGAAATCTATCAGTACAGCCATCTGCCGAAAAAATAATGGATTTCTTTTTCCACAACCTAATATGTGCGATATGCTTAATTAATGACCGATATATGTCAATTTCGAACGCAATATTTTAGTTTTGTATCTCAATTCTTTCCTTCAGGAGGTATCATTATATGGAGGAGATGCCTAAATGCTGGCCGATATATTTCACTATCCTCAGGTTGGAGTTTTTTGTTTATCACGATATCCATAAGAAATCAAAGTACTCGGTTACAGCCAATTCGGGAGACAAATGCGCTCAAAAACCCCCAAAATACTGTAGAGTGATTACAACTGACAGACGACATTGTCATAGAATTTTACGCTGATCAAGAATATATACTTTATAGGTTCGGAAGTTATTCTGTTTTTTAAGTAAATTAAAAATTGATACATATTTTTTCTTTGTAGGAAAATATAATTGTTACATACCTTGAATATCAGCTATGCACAAACCCGTACTCCTAGCACTTGTTGGGACACCTATAAACACAAAATATTTACAAATTATTTGTATAGTTTTACAGTAATTCGCATTTAAATTTAATAAATTAAATAAAAATAAATAAATTGGACTGTCTCCATATATTTTAATATGGACGTGAAGGAGAATTTTTTAGTATTTATTTATTAGTGGGGAATGTATGGCATTGTTTGCCGAGGGATAAGGCAGGGAAGACTATAGTTTCGGATCACGCCACTGATCCTCATTAGTTCCCTTAGTTTTTTGTTGGGATATTCTCCCCAGAAGCTTTTGCTTCTATACAAAAAACCTTTCATACCCAAATGTCTCTTGTAACAAAGCGAAGTACTTAGCTGACCAACGACATAAACTGCATGAGAATTTCGCTGGAGCCTCACTTCGCGGTTAACAAGGCGTTTTTTTATAAAAACAACAAACTGGAATTCAGCCTGACTATTTTGCAAAAACAAAATACAAATGGTATCCCAAATAAACCGCCAACACTACTGAGATTATTTTTTTCACACGAGTCGGAAGAAAAAGAGTAAAAATGGTAAATGTTGACATCCATCTTTTTATGTCCCTAAAGGAGAAACACATAAGAGGACTTCAGGTACGGCATGTCAAGTTGGCTGCTTTGGCAAAAAAGCAGGGTTGGAAGATTACCTGTAGTAATCATATTCCACAGTTGATTTGATATACGGTTACTTATTAATTTCATTCTTTGTGTGTTGTTGTTTTTATATCTCACATTTTTTTTTTTGTATAGCTCTTTGAGTTCATTGGAGAAGTGTTTGCAAATTTTGAAAGAAAGGAGACGTTTCTCCTGAAATGATGATAATTTGACAATTCAGACAACTTAACATGCCAGTGGGTCGATTCACTATCAAAATTAAGCAATTCTCAAATCGATAAAATATTATAACGACAAAATAAACAATATTTTAATTCTATAACAGTTTTTAGCAACAATTGTTAAAAATGTTGTTAATAAACAACAGCAAAAAATTCGAAGTTAACTTATAGACAAATATTCTTTAATATTGAACATGCCTTGTTTTGTTCAAAAGTTTATGTTTTCAAAACAAAATTAAACTGGCAAGTCCAATTTCCACAATGTAACACCAAAAAATCTACCTATGCCGCTATATAGCAAGATCAAGTTCTCGACGATTGAAAGTTTCCGTTTCTATGTAAGTGAAAACATGATATTGCGGTGGTGGCCATACCATCATATCGTCCACTTTCTAAACAAGTCACAAGTCTATGCGGTCACACTTAATTATTTCCTAATAATTAAAAAAAATGTCGACAGTCAACTAAACCGGCTACAGATAGGATGGGGAAACCAATGGCAAAACCAGGAGTTTTAAAGAAAAGCAAAACCAAACATCCCCGCTAGGTTAGTGGTATGGAAATGATGTTGCTCGTTTGGTAAGACACACCCAATCAAATCCTGACAACAAACATTTTTGGTTGTGTTTGTTTCCTGTAGTGTGAATGTAGACAAATTTGTTGACGGCACACTTTAAGTACTTCCTGCGGACATAACGTCATTTGATGGGGGGATGGTACAAAGTTCGAATAATTTTTAAGTGTTCTCAACAAGACGACAAGAACTGACAAAAGTATACTTTAATTAAAAATCCACGTCTGTTGTACGTTGAAATCCTTTTTAATATACGCTTATAGCTCTGTTAGTCCTACATTGATTTTTGGTATTGAAAATGGGATATATCAGTCCCCTATAAAGGTACGACCAATATTCGGTATATTTTAAAGATTATGGGCACATTTTTCAACTGAATTGACTGTATTTTTTTTTTAATTTGGATTCTTGTTGTGTGTCAAACCTTCTCCCTGCTTACTGCAATGGATATTCTCATAAAAAGAAATAAAAATATGTTTTAGAAGAGTGATAGAAAAAAACCTTTTTTAAGTGGGGTACATTCGGCCATATACAGAAAGTGCTATATTATTTCCTATAAATGTTTGTCTTTAAAAATAATCCTTCAATATGGTTCGAAATTACATATACACCTGGTGGTCAAAACTCAAGGATGAATTAAAGTAAAATATTAAAGACTCCGACATTTAAAAAAAATTACCATGAGAAAGTCCAAAAATGAAAGGCTCATGCCACAGTATTGAAAGATTACTGGAAAGTATGAAGGGCTGTTTTTCTCTTTATGGAGTTCGGGACTCAAAAATCAGGATTTTATAAAGGCTAACACAATCCTCAGATCTTTAGCACATAGAAAAATTTTTGGAGTATCATAGCTAGAAAAATCAAAAGAGTTTCGCACAACCTCTTCCCAAAGCTTCAGTATGCAAGGAATAGTATACCCCAGGACCAAATTGAGCAATACCGCGTAGGTGTGCTGCCGTATCGACAAATAATTGTTATGCTGTCGATTACTAGCTGGTTATTGGTCATTTATAAGAAAAAATAAAAAAGTTGCTTTAATTTTGATCATGCAACAATTGGGTCAATTTAGTTCCCTATAGAATGTTTTATTTCCAAAAAATGCCTTTATATTTTTTTATACCCTCTACCATAGTATGGAGGGTATATTAATTTTGTCATTCCGTTTGTAACTCATCGAAATATTCATTTCCGACCCTATAAAGTATATATATTCTTGATCAGGGTAAAATTCTAAGACGATCTAGCCATGTCCGTCCGTCTGTTGTAATCACGCTATCTTCTGAAGAAATTGAGATAGGGTGCTGAAATTTTGCATAGGGTTGTCTTTTGTCTGCAGGCAGGCCAAGTTAGAAGATGGGATACATCGGTTCACGTTTAGGCATAGCTCCCATATAAGGGTACCCGCCAAATATCGGTATTTTGGTGTTCTTGAGCGCGTTTTTCAGCCGAATTCGCTGAAATTTGGTACATTTTCCACCGAATTGGTTGTACCTCCTAATTTTAATTTAGTATTTGGAGACTTGGCTGTAATTTAGTATTTGGAGTTCTTAGAAGGTACCAAATCTCTCCACAAAATATTATAAAAATAGGTCAATTTATTCGATTATCCCTTATATATGGGCACCCCCAATTTTCGGTATTTTGAGGTTCCTGAGCGCGATTTTCAACCGAATTCGCTGAAATTTGGTACATTGGATTCTTATTGGGTACCAAATATCTCTACTAAAAATTATAAATACCGGGCCATTTTCTGTGGTAGCCCCCATATAAGGGCACCCCCAATTTTCGGTATTTTGAGGTTCTTGAGCGCTATTTTCAACCAAATTCGCTGAAATTTGGTACATTGGGTTCTTATTGGGTACCAAATGTCTTTATTAAAAATTATAAATATCGGTCCACTTTTTCATTTCAAATACCTGTCAGTATACCTGTGGTGAAGGATATCCAAAGTTCGGCCCGGCCGAACTTAACGCTTTTTCACTTGTTGTTTATTAAAAATGAATAATTTATCTATTTATTTCTGAGAAAAAACTTTCACAAAAGCTTTATTTTCAAAAAAAGTTACAGGCCATTTATTTAGTTTGCAATTTTAGTTGCTTTAGTTTTGGCCACCAGTGTGCGAGTATAAGAACAAACGTGCTTCGATTGACGAAAATGCGATAGAAAAAAGCTATTGCTGATAGTGTGTGTGTGGCCTTGATTCGTCCTCCGCTAGAAATATACCCATAAAAATCAAACTTTGAGTCGCATATTTAAGGGGACCCCTCCCATTCTCGGGGTTACAAAATTTTTGTTGATATAATTCGAATCTACACTAATTCAAGAATGTCCCTACAAAATTTCAAGAACTCTTGAAGATAAAGCCGATTTATTCTGTCAGCAGCAAGTGACGGCTGAAGGTATTCTCAAAATTTAAACACGTTTTTCTCTAAACGAATGGCGGGCACGATAACTCAAAAACTAATAACCCAATGGATTCCAAATTTTTACACGTTTCTCTGTGAGTGTATAGCTATCGTATGAACTAGGAGAAAGCCAATCGGTGAAGAACTTCCTTATTTTTTAACTGCACATACCTTAACAAGCATTGGTATTGATTTACCAGCCCTTTGAAAATCTTGAAAAATTAAAATCGAGAATGGGGGGTTTCCTTAAACAAAATAGTACCTTCAGAGAATCTAAGCTCAAACCAGACTGACTGATTACCAGGCTATGCCTATGGGTGCAGAATATGCCCCATCAAATGCCAAAGCTATGCCGGGTAGGGGCACTTTCAGCGAATTTCACTTTTTTGACAAAACTCTAAAAATATTTAACTAATACAAATTTATCATATGTTTGTAGTATAAGTACTGAGATATAGAGCTCAAAAAAGTGCCGAATGTGTCTCCGTCTCCCCTAATCACTAAGTGAAGTGTGATGTTTACGCAAAGTTAATTCGAAATTGTCCATTAAAATAAAATAACTTTATGTTTAATATTTTTTCAATTTATTTTTTAAAGGTTTCGTTTTCAATAATAATAATATTGATATGGATATGGCAATGTTGAAATTGGAGCATAATGATTAGTCGGTGGAAGACCATACATAACAGGTGGAGGAGGCCTATAGGCATGACCACCAGGAGGACCATAATAATAAGAACTTGGATAATTGGAATATCTAGTAGCAGTAGTAGTATTCGTACCAGTCTTACCGGTATTAGTAGTACCGGTAGTAGTAGTATCGGTATTAGTAGTACCAGTATTACCGGTATTAGTGGTACCGGTACCAGTATTGCCGGTATTAGTAGTACCGGTACCTGTAGTACCGGTATTAGTATTACCGGTGCCAGTAGTACCGGTATTAGTATTCCCTGTACCAGTAGTACCGGTACCAGTATTACCAGTGGTACCACCTGTACTAGAGCCAGTACCAGCACCTCCTGTACCAGTACCTCCTGTACCAGAGCCAGTACCAGCACCTCCTGTACCAGTACCTCCTGTACCAGTGCCAGTACCTCCTGTGCCAGTACCTCCTGTACCAGTGCCAGTACCTCCTGTGCCAGCGCCTCCCGTACCAGTACCAGCACCTCCTGTACCAGAGCCAGTACCAGCACCTCCTGTACCAGAGCCAGTACCAGCACTTCCTGTACCAGTACCTCCTGTACCAGTGCCTCCTGTACCAGTGCCAGTACCTCCTGTACCAGTGCCTCCTGTACCAGTACCTCCTGTACCAGTGCCTCCCGTACCAGTACCAGCACCTCCGGTACCAGAGCCAGTACCAGCACCTCCTGTACCAGAGCCAGTACCAGAACCTCCTGTACCAGTACCTCCTGTACCACTGCCTCCTGTACCAGTACCTCCTGTACCACTGCCTCCTGTACCAGTACCTCCTGTACCAGTGCCAGTACCTCCTGTACCAGTGCCTCCTGTACCAGTACCTCCTGTACCAGTGCCTCCTGTACCAGTGCCAGTACCTCCTGTACCAGTGCCTCCTGTACCAGTACCTCCTGTACCAGTGCCTCCCGTACCAGTACCAGCACCTCCTGTACCAGAGCCAGTACCAGCACCTCCTGTACCAGAGCCAGTACCAGCACTTCCTGTACCAGAGCCAGTACCAGAACCTCCTGTACCAGTACCTCCTGTACCAGTGCCTCCTGTACCAGTACCTCCTGTACCACTGCCTCCTGTACCAGTACCTCCTGTACCAGTGCCAGTACCTCCTGTACCAGTGCCTCCTGTACCAGTACCTCCTGTACCAGTGCCTCCTGTACCAGTGCCAGTACCAGTACCTCCTGTACCAGTGCCTCCCGTACCAGTACCAGCACCTCCGGTACCACTTCCTCCTCCGATACCAGCATCCTTAATAGCCTGTGTTATCAGCGGTAGAAGATCTTTGAGAGTTTCCTGCGGTGATTTTGTAGTAGCAACATCTGGTGTTGTAGTCGTCGGTGGCGGCGGCCTTCCACCATATTTATTTTTATGCAAAAAATGATGTACAAATGTTCGATCATCAGTATTCGCGCCGTCGAATAATACAGTCGAAAAGACACAACTTGTGGTTAATAGAACCAAAGCGGACGTACACAACAATCTTCGAAATGACATATTTCTAGTTCAGTTAACAGTTATAGAATGAGTTTTCCAAATTCGATATTTCCCTATTTATACAATAAAAGGAGTTTGTCATCACCTATAATTTGATCCGAACAGCATGTAGAGATTAGTTCAATGAAAATTTTCAATTTTTATTGGATTTTTATGATCGTCTGCTTTTATGATCGTTTTTCAAGATGTTATTTGAATATTTTTCAATAAAGAGAAAAACACATTTGAGGCTTATACTAAAAAGGGCTGCTTGGAGAAGGGGGAAGATGCACAGGTTAAGCAAAATTTGTGATGTTTTTTTGTTATTTGATACCGACGCGTAGGCTTAAAAAATGGAAGGCACGTGTAATGAAAGGTCAAAAAACTTTTTCATTCCGATATGTGCTCTAAGCGGTAACCCAGAAATAACTTCGTTGCATTTCTGTGTGCAACGAAGTGCCGAAACCCATCGGAAATGTTTCCACCAACTATTCAATAAAAAATCAACTATCCCAAAAATAAGATTGTAAAGTCTAGGTAATTTTTACGTCTTCCAAAATGTATTGAAAATTAAAAATCTTGTTTTTAATTTCCAACCGCGCCGGTCTTGTGCGCAGCTCATCCTATTTGAATGACCATCTTTCGAGATGTTGTCTTCCACTTGATCTTTATATCGAATTCGTGGCCTTCCCCTTCTGCTTGAAGCATGACTTGACTCGCTTTTATATGCCTTTTGAGCTGGGGCATCCTCATCCATTCTCATAACATGACCTAGCCAACGTAGGTCATGCAGCTCGATTCGTCTGGCAATGCCGATGTCCGAGAATAGATGGTACAACTCATGGTTCATTCGACGGCGATATTCACTGACAATGCATATATCTTTCGGAGAATTTTGCTCTCAAACACTCCAGGAGCTGCCTCATCTGCTTGCGTAAGTACCCATGCTTCAGATCCATACAACAGCACGGGTAGTATCAGCGCCTTGTAGAGTGTAAGTTTGATCTGGCGAGAGGTGACCTTGCTTAATCAGACCATAGAAGCATCTGTTGGCCAACACTATTCTTCGCTGGATTTCAAAACCGATGTTATTAGTTTTGCTTATGGAGGTACCGAGATATATCAAATTATTCACTACTTCGAAGCTGTAGTTTTCAAGTTCCACAATTGGTCCGAGCTTACTGGAAGTCTTGCGCCATTTACTGTACTTCCCACTTTGGCAGACTCCTTCTCAATTCGTTCAAAGGTGGCTGTTACCGCTCTCAATGTTCGACCCATTATGTCGTCGGCGTAGGCTAGTAACAGGTGTTGTTTGGTGTACAGAGTCCAGCAGGATGTTAAACAGGCCATCGAGAAACTGTCACCTTGTCTGAATCATCGTTCGGTATTGAAGAGCTCCCAGAGGTCCTTTCCGACTTTAACTGCTGACTTTGTGCCAGTTAAAGTTATCCTGCATTTATTTCACAAGAATGCCGAACGCAGATGCGACTTTAAACACCTCTGAGCGGATTGTGCTGCCGAATGCGGCTTTATAGTCGACGTATATGTGGAATATGTCGAGGTTTTTTTTCGTGGTGTTTTTCAGGATGTACTGGGAAGAAGACATACTTCTTCCTTTATAGTTGTCTCCTTTTCGGGGTTCCAATCATTGAGCATGCATTCCTCTAGCCATATTGTACTAATAGGCTGGTAATCCATCCGTACCGGCCATTATATTATTCTTTATCTTGGCTAGGTGGTATACAATCTTTACCGTCATCTCTAATTGGCTCTGAGGTATCTTCTTCACGGTTACTATTTGATAGCAGAAGCTTTGCAAATTGCTTCTTCCAGATCCTCAAAACGCTATCTGTATCTATCACCAGGTTTCCTTCTTCATTCCTACAGGAGGATGTGCCTGCACCAAAACCGTTGGTTTGGTGTTTTAATTTTCGGACTTCATTCTGACTCCTTTAACCGAATTTCCGATAAGAAACCCGAAGCGAGATAGACACACGGTTCCGTTTGAGAATATCAATAGAATCACTTTCTGAGTCGATTCATGCATGTCCGTCGTCCTTTTGCCTGCCTGTCCATGTTAAAATCTAAACAAAGTATAGGTCGCATTTATAATCCGACTTGGATGAAATTTGGCACAGTTAATTTATTTGGCCCAAGCACGAACCCGATTGAAATTCGTCCGATTTAATGTGAATAGTGTACCAAAGCCCCTGTACTTCTTTCGATTTTCACGAAATTCTGCATAGCGTACTGAATTAAGTCTAGAAAGAGGCGTGTTAAGTTTCGTGAAAATCGATTCAGATATAGATATAGATTTAAAAATTTCGCATAGCGTACTGAACTAAGTCTAGAATGACGTGTGCTAAGTTTCATGAAAGTTGGTTCAGATTTAGATATAGCTCGATTTATATATAATCCTAGACAATATGAAGCCAACAGGTCGAAGCGTAGAAGTCTTGGTATCGCTCGGTTTCCCTTTGGTATACAAATATTAAAACAATGATTATTGTCCGTTCCCAACTGAAGATCGGTTTCTATAGGTAACAATTTCACAGACCCTCAAGTCAGTGTTTTGGTTTTTTTTTCTATTGAAATAATTTCCCTCAGGTCGGTGTTTTTTATATAAAAAATCACACCACCTCAGTGTAATATTGTTTATACCCTCATAGATCTTCAGATCGAAGTCGGTGTTTTATTCTATAGACAAAAATTTCACAGACACTCAGATCGATGCTTTTTTCTATATAAAAAAATATAAACCCTCACGACGGTTTTTTTAGAAATAATAATCCTCACCTTGATATTTTCTTCTATAGAAACCAATTTTCATTTTTCTCCTCAGGTTGATATTTTCTTCTATAGGAAAAATTTTTCTAAAGAAAAAAAATTTCGAAGGACCTGAGTTCGGTGTTTTTATAGAAAATACTTGAGAGACATTGATCTCGTATATCTATACATCTAATTTTGAGTACCTATATCAAACTCTGATACCTATATACAAAAAAAAAACTCAGGAGAGTGCCATTTTTTTAAAGAATTACAGCGGCAAATTCAATAGGTACAAATGTACCACGTTTACTTTTTTGGTAATTGATCATAGGGTTACAGTAAGTGAAGTAAAAATATAATAAAAAATTCCCAGCTATAATTTTGCACGGCAGTGTATGTAATCACAGTTGTCTATTATACGATGACAGATTTAAATGTGTTCATTATTTGGTGAACACTTCGAATAGTTACAAAGACCGCGGATCATACACCAGTGATTCATCATGAAGAGTAAACCATAACGAATACACACACACATGCACATATGTACATAATAAGAAATCAAACATGAATTTCGATGATAGCAAAAAATAAAATTTATAAATAACAATAAGTCATGCTGTACATACATAAGTGTGGATGTGTGTGTGTTTAAACAATAAATAAACTAATGAAATACGCATAGAAGAATTTTTTTGCGATCAGAGTCTATGGCCGCTAAATTTTAAACAAACACACTGTAATAATGAATTATACGAGCATACCATATCTAACCGTTCTTAAAGTAGGGATTTTATTAATGTGGTACTTATTGTTTGCTCAATACTAGAACTGCAGGATTCGACTCTTTCGATGTACTTTATGGAATCTTCACACCGAAAATGGTATCCAATTTACACTGTGAAACAAAATAGAGGACATGGTCTATGGGGTGGAAAATTCATTTTTGGTTATGAAACACCTTGGTGACTATATGAAACACCCAGAATGAAAAAAATTCGCCACAGGTCAAAGTTCGGAGATATGGCGTGTTAATATTTTTTTATACGCTTCACCACACTGTGGTACAGGGTATTATGTCTTTGTGCATATATTTGTAACGGGCGAAAGGAAACCAGATAGACACATGATTCCTTTTGAGAATATGCATAGCATCACTTTCTGAGTCGTCCGTCTGTCTGTCTGTCCATATAAAATTGTAAAAAAATGCAGGTTCCATTTATGATTCGATTTGGATGAAAATTGGAAAAAGTTGGTTCAGATTTAGCTAAAGCTCCCATATATATTTTCGTTTGTGATGCGTGTTAAGTTTCGTGAAAATCGGTTCCAATTTCGATAAAGCTTCCATATATATTTTCAATCGATTCTATGTTAATGGAGCACCAAAGCCCCTATATATCTTTCGATTTGCACGAAATTTGTTATAACGTACTGAATTAGGTGTAGAATGATGTGTGCTAAGATTCGGGAAAATCGGTTCAGATTAAAATAAAGCTCCCATAAATATATTATGGTGCAACAAAGCCGCTACATTTCTTTCGATTTACACGAAATTTGACGTAGCGCACTTAATTTATTGTAGAATGATGTGTACTACGTTCCGTGAAAATTGGTTCAGATTTAATATAGCTCTCATATATATTTTCTTCCGATTTTATGTAAATTGTGCACTCAAGACTACAGTTTGTCCGACTGGCTCACAATTTTTATACAATGTGCTTAGATTAATATAAGTTAATCTCTGACAAGTTTCGTTCGAATTAGTTCAGATTTAGATATAGCTCCCATATGTATATTCCTCAGATTTTAGATAAATGGTGCACCAAACTCCTAATGTTTGTTCGATTGACTCAAAATTTTGCACAACTTATCATATTGAGACTAGAATGACGTTATTGAGTTTTGTGGAAATTGGTGTTCATAAGATTGTAAGTGGGGACCTCAATCGATATTGTAACGTTTTAATGGTCTATTCTCAAGTTTACCCGTTTCTTGTCTCTAAACCCCTATATTTATGAATTCCTTATTATGTACAACTGTCGGATTTGTCCAAATTATTTTCATAAACAGCTATAGCTATGCCAAATACGCCATAAAAATAAATTTCGAAGAAAAAAGAACCGGGTTTCTAAATTCTTGAACTGGTTATTCAAGAAATAAAACCGGTTTCAATACCTTATATACACATCATTAGAACTGGACTATTATCGGTTTTATTATCTGAATATTCGGTTTGTTTTTTACCCGAATCCCAGATTTTCCTCCAAATATACGTATTTGGCAAAACTATATATGTACATATATTTTGAAAATAATTTGAACGAATCCGATAGTTCTATTGAACTATTGAGATTCATACATATAGGGTTTTAGTATGATCATTTTATATTTAATCCAAACTTTATAAATCGTTATATTTTTTTCAAAGCTAAAATCAAATCTCCAAAGTAGCATATGTTTGCGAACCTCTGTTTCAGAAGTGTCTTCATCGATGGCCAAGAGCAAAAAGGAATGAACTTTCCCCCACTTTTCTTTAGGGTATCTTAAGGCGATTCCTTGTCAGGACTCCGAAGACCATCATAATAATTTAATTGCCAACCATCCTTTAAAAATGTAATGACCATGGCACACCACAAAGCAGCGTTTTTACAATTGGCGGGCACGATAACTCAAAAATGATAAATTCAATCGGTCCCAAATAACACGTTATTCCTGACCTACTTTGCTATCCAATCGATGACGATTTTACAGCTTGGTTTTTGGTCGAAAATATGCGAATTTCGCTAATTTTCGAGCGAAATCAATATCCCTAGTTCATATTAGAGAACTCTAATCCAATCGTAATCCTCCTGGGTGTGATTCTAACCCTCTAATCCCAGCCCACTCAACCATAACCGCAACCTACTATTTATATTCCTTGTGAACACTGTAACCGCCCTTAAACTCTGTGGTAGCTAAACGTTCTTAAATATTTTGCAATATTTTCTAACTAAACTTCATTGCAAAAAATTTTTACTACACGAAATAAAAACAGTTTTACATTTGTTTTTAATTTATTGTTTTACAAGTTAGGATTGGGGGATACATGTTCGGCAATAATAATTAGAAAATAAAATTAGAAAGAATAGGGATAATATTGTGGCGACAAATTATAAACAGGATAGTTGAAATATCTTTGGGCAACACCAGTTGCACTTCTAACGCCAATATTAAGACCACCAGTTGAACCTCCAGAGCCAATATTAAGACCACCAGTTGTACCTCCAGTACCACCAGTTGTACCACCAGTACCACCAGTTGTACCTCCAATACCACCAGTTGTACCTCCAGCGCCAATATTAATACCACCAGTTGTACCTCCAGTACCACCAGTTGTACCTCCAGTACCACCAGTTGTACCTCCAGCGCCAACATTCGCACCACCTCCAGTAGTACCTCCACCTCCATTAGTCAGTCCAGCTATTGCAGCTACTAGATCCGTTAATTCCTTTTTCAAATCCTCTGCAGCTGGAGCCTTAGTGGTTGTTGCTGCGGTTGTTGGAGTTGGGGTGGTGGTGGTCTGTTTTGAAAATTTGTTACCAAAAAAATTGCCAAATTTATTGCCATATCCAGAGTTGTAGTCAGCATTGGCACCATTTTGACCGTTATTAAAAAAGATTGTCCTTCTGTCATCCCAATCCGGTGATGGATAATATCCTTGTCCTAACGATAGTGAACGATAATTACCAACGGCAGCTTCTGAGTCGACAATTTGTAGCAATCTTTTCAACAAAGGCACAACTTGTTGCAGTTGTTGCAATTGTCCTTGATTGAGGGACATGACTTCGGCAGTTTCTATCGAAAAAACACATCTTGTGGTTAGCAGAACCAAAGCGGAGGTGCACAACAATATTCGACTCAACATATTTTTTTGACTTCTAGCTTAGTTGACAGCGTTTAAAGAACTTGTCGAAATTTTCAGTTTTCCAATGGTTTTATACCACACAAACAGGTCAGTCAGTCCATCACAGAATATCAGTCAGTCGGATAATATTACTAATGACGTTTTCTCCATTTTATGGTCAATTTCATGTTGACATACAAAAATCAAATTTAGATATCCGAAACCCTAGAAGGAAAATGCATCATATCATAATCTAAGGTTGGATAGTTTTTTTATGGCTTAAGAATATGTTTACGTTAATTTTTGTTACCACAATAAAGATTTGAAAAAAAAAACTGTCTCAGCATTGTGGCAATGAAAATGATTGTGTTACATACATATATATATATATATATATATTCAATGCGGGTATTTTTATTACCGTTCCAACAAATATCCCGTTTTATTTTAGACCATTTCCATTCTATTGTAAGGGTGGACAAAAACCATCAACAATTCAGTTTTTTTTCTTGAAGAGAGAATTGGACTTCCCACAAAAGATATATTTGGAGAGGGAAAAAAGAATATTTTTAAAACACCATCTAAAATGATATGAACGAAATTTGTATAGAACATTTGGAGATTAAAAAAATTCGTATTCAAGAAAATAAGAATAGAAAAGACGCACAAGGACTCTAGATAGAAGGAGGATATGTTTTACGAAAATAGTACAAATTCGATTTAACTGAAGACATGCCCTATCAAAAATTATCTGTAATAGTCGCAGACGAAAATATAAAACCTTTTCTTCATGAACTTTAGAGTTACCAGAAAACAAATAAAAAAGTGTGAGGTTTTGCCATACCCTCAGCCTATGGTTTGCGGAGTTATTCGGAATTACACACAGGTTTTATTATTCGCTTCATATAAGGTATATGATTTTATCAAAGAGGTTTTCGGTTCAATGTTGAGCGATGTTCGCTTCAAATTAAATTCACAATTTTATAGATTATTGACCCCTTGTGGGAGAAGTAGCAGAAGAAGAGGCCGGACGGGTCCCACATCGAACATTCCACTTGACTAATATTGAATTTGTACATTTTGATCAGTTGTGAGAGAGGTACCAGGTACCGTTTGCCTGATATTATAAAATCAATTTGTTTGTCCTGGGGGAGGTATTAGAAGGAGGGGACTGGTATTCTCCATCTTCGAACTTGAACTAAGTTTGGAAGAAATATTACAAAGTCAAAAGTTTGAATGAAATCAGTTACTCCTTTCAAAAGTTATCGGACGTAGCAGCCAGAAACTGATTTGGTCCCAAGAAACATGGGGTTTAACATCAATATTTTCAAAGGGTATATACCCTCATTGGTCATAAGGCTGAGGGTATCAGGAATCATTACGCCATAACTCAAAAACTTGATCTATAGTGAATTTGTTCTTCTGGGTTATTGAGGGAACCCCCCCATTCTCGATTTTAGTTTTTCAAGATTTTCAATGGGCTGGTAAATCAACACCAATGCTTGTTAAGGTTTGTAACTTTATACATATATAATTGAAGATTTAAAAGAGAAGAAATATAATTTACAAAAATTATTGTTATTGTTTTGTTGTTGTTTTTTGTAATTAAAGAAAAGTCCTTATTTTCGATGGTGGGCATGATAACTCCTCACTGGAACATCGGAATCCGAAAATTCCAACGGTGTTAGAAAGAGTACATGTCTGGCTCTCGTATGAACTAGGATTATTGACTTCGCTCTAAAATTAACAAAATGGTGGACCTTTGAAAAAATATTTTTGGAAAATCGCCGATTTTTTACAAAAACCGAAGTCAAAAAATAAGGAAGATCTTCACCGATAGGCTTTATCCTAGTTCATATGATAGTTACACACTCACAGAGAAACGTGTAAAAATTTGAAGTCGATTGAGTTATTAGTTTTTGAGTTATCGTGCCCGCCATTTGCAAAAAAAAAACGCGTTTAAAGTTTGAGAAGCCCTTCAGCCGTCACTTGATGCTAACACAATAAATCGGCTATATCTTCAAGAATTCTTGAGATTTTCATTTGAAATTTTGTAGGGACATTCTTTAATTAGTGTAGATTCGAATTATATTAACAAAATTTTTGACCCCGAGAATGGGGGGTCCCCTTAATATACTAAATTGTTGTCTGTCGTATATCGTATTAAAGCCAATTCGGTTGAAGGGCGTTGCTAAAACAACGATATTTTTGATACCGATATATGGGAGCTGCCAATAGGTTTTGGTTAGCTGCCCAATCATTCGCGAGAATTCAAGAATGTTCGTTTTGATTCGTGAGGGAATGTCAGAAAGAATTTCAACCACCAAACGAACGATCGTTGTTGTGTGTTCTCACTCGTTTGTTCTGTGTGTGTGTGAACGTTTGGCGAATAATCGTATGGTATAGAAACTTTTTGAATCATTCGCGAGAGAATGTGTGCGGACCCTGCTACATTGAGAACTAATGTGAAGGCGTTTCTCTTTAACTACCAAACACCGATCCAGATGATCGCACACATTTCCAATGGAGTTGAGATCCAAACCCATTTGTTCGAGCATCTGTTCCATGTGGTATTTTAAAAAGTTACGATTTCTTACACCATTGATAGGATATATCCGCACAAAATCAGGGAACGACATTTAGTTTCACGTTCGGTACCGCCTAGATCGTGCAATTATATGTCCTTAGACTATTTTTTGTGGGCCATGTTAAGGCTCATGTCTAACAGGCTTTAATTGACGCATAGGAAGACAAAATTTAAACAAGAGTATGCCAAAATTGAACGAAACGAATGGATTACTTGAGGCACGGTCAACATTTGTGTGATGTAATCTTAAAACCTTAATTTCTATGGACCGTACTATCGATTCAAATAAAGATTTCAGACATTTTTTCTGAATTTTATGTGTTGTGCCTTTATTCGACCTATGTCAAAATGTGAACCGATATTGTTCATCTTCGAACTTGATCTACATATCTGCAACATTTGATCGATCTATATTTAGTCATTTAAAGGCAAGAGTGAATAAAACAGACAGACGAACGTATCTCATAGAAGTCTACGTTGATATTTATAGGGTCGAATAATATAACTTCGATGAGTTAGAAACGGAAAAACGAACTTAATATAGCCTACAAACTATGGGGGATGGTTATAAAAATCGACAATAAGCTGTGATTCCATAGACCTTGGCAAACCAAAATAGCATGCAAAACCCAAGATATGTTTCTACTACATACATATGTCATATGCTGCACTAGGCTTACTAGATTTTAATAAAACTTTTTGAAATATGCTCTATGGAATAAAAATTATAAAAAAAATTGAATTTTTTTCTCTTATATTTGTAATCTATCGAAATGACAATTGGTCTGATCCCGTACTGCAAGATTCTACTAGTTTTTAATATTATTTCAATATCGTAAGGGAACATTTTACTACGATAAAAATTAGTAGATTGTTGCAGTACGGCAACATACCAAAATTTAGGTCGATATAGTTTTCATTGCAAAAAACATCAAAACAGTTGTTGTTTTTTAATGTTACCACTGCATTTGTAATCCATCGAAATAACCATTTTAGGTCATAGCCACCAAATAACAAAAATTAGAAGTTATTCGATTTTCTTTAAAAAAAAACACATGTCGATATATAGTTCTTTTCCAATAGTATAAAACTCATCGACCGATTTAAACCACGTCTATGAAAATATTTGGATACCTCATAAATTCAGTCGACGTTTTAATTACCTCTTTCGCCAGTAACATTAGCCATTAGATTTCTTTTCTAACTTGTATTCTTTTTCAAAACATAAAATTTCGTTGACGGACCATCATAAAATAAGAGTTTTATTACAAAAATCGATGTGTCTATTGTACGGCCTAGTATATGGGCATCTCCTTTTTTTGTATTAATAGGTAAAGGGGACAATGTGTAACATCATTCTGTGATTGTTAGCTAACGCAGGAACATGCTGTCCCATCGAGTTTTGTTAACGTTTTGTTAACGTTCGTTGGTTGTGGCAATCACCCGCTGTGTATTTTCCGAGAAATTTGACGAGTATAATGATTTCTCCTCTCTGGATGCTGGAAGTGCAGCAAGTAGAGCTATATATATATATATGGGCAATATCGCCAATTTTTTAACATAGCTGAAGCGGAGGTTCACCCCATTATAAAAAAATTGAATAGTTTTAGGTTAATTGATCTGTCGTTGCCAACTGTTCCTGATATTAATCTCCAAACTTTATTTTGGTGGAATCTGTGTCTACTTAAATGTAAAAAAATTGTATAAACAGGTTGAGGCGAACCATTTTTTTTATGTTCTCTATCGATTTGTGACTAAGCCACTCATTTCACTGTCTTCGTGTCAAAGTAAAACTGGAACCCAGCAAAATGGGGACTACGCCCCTTATGTATCATTTTCAAAATTTTAACTGCATCTACCTTTAATTGAAGCACGATTTTGAGTGTTTTTTGAATTGTACTTCTAGCTTTAACACGCATACAGGAATTTCTAAAAATCGATTATAAGATTATTGTAGTCGCGAATCTGAGTAATTTGATATATGAGTAAGACTCATCCAAAGGTGAACATTTTGTGCGATCAAATTTCTAAAAAACCTATTTTTCGGGTCAAATTTGTAGATCTGTCAACTGAATGATACGGGTGCCCGCGATCAGTAAGGTTTTTTACGTTTCGGATGATATAAAATCTTCTTCGTGAAAATCCATCAATTAGAACGGCGGGAACTGGCTTTCCAAAAACACGAAATTTGGAAAAATAATGTTTTTGAAAATATCGCGGATTTAATTGTATTTTTTGTGGATCATTTCCGCTTCAATAAATGACCTCACACGGATTTTGATCTTTTTCGAAGGCAGATATATATCAACGTTTTTGGTCAATATAATAAACAGCGTAATTTTAAGATTTTTTTCTTATGCCCAAAAACCAACCAAACATTTGCGCGCATCAACCAAAAATTTGATCGCGAACAGTCGGAGTCAGAATATTTTTCTCTATATGTGCACCAAAAGTCGTTGATGTATCACAAAAACAAAAAAGCTGATTTTTTGAAAATGGAATATTAAAAAATTGGCTATATATATACAATTTTAACTAGTCCTGGACCTCCCATGAGTTTGCATTTTTATACACTCTAGCCTTAAGGCTGACACGCAAAAATGTGTCTTATAGAAATATTTTTATACCCCATGATTCTTTGAACCAAATCCGTTTCAGACAATTGGGAGTAGATTTACAAATGTCTGTCTGGCTGATGCGCACGATAACTCTCGAAGGCAGTAACCGATTTCATTCTAACTTTGTACATAGTAATATTTCTTCCAAACATTAATCAAGTTCGAAGATGGAGAATATTGGCCCAATCCTTCTGAAGAATATCGGTCCAATCCTACTGGATTTAATAATATAATGCGGGCGAACTATACGATTTGAACTAAACTTGCAGAACCTAATTATTTTACTATGTCTGGCACCCGTCGGTCTACTCCTTCTGGTACCTCCCCCACCATTGTCAGTTTTTTTTTTTTTTTTTTTTTTGTAAATCCAATATTAAGCGAATTGAATGTAATTAGAAGTACGTTTACCAAACATAGGTCAAGTTCGAATATGGGAAACATCGTTCCACTCATTCTCTTTAGTATCTCCCAATCAAAATAATAAAAACTGTGTGTAATTCCGTAGACCTCCGCAAACCATAGGTTGACAACATCAACTGACACTTTCTATACCCTACACAACTATGTTGTCAGGGTATTATAGCTTTTTGCAGCCTCAAGAATATGTACCGCCGCGAAATATTGATCCTAGACCCACCCTCAAGTATGCCGATCGTCATATCTCGACTAGCTGATTCGATCTAGACATGTTTGTCCGTCCGTTTTACATGGAGAAGGGGATCGGACCAAAGAATAAGCATGCCTGTTTTGATAAAGATCGGTCAATATTTAACAAATCAAATGGACCCTGTCTTTTGTGTGAAAAATTACAACATTTGTATTCTATGGCGTACATATTTTTACTCCCGAAGGACATAGACCTGAGTTGAAAGTATATCCAAGAGGACTGGTTGACCTTTAAATTGATACCAATTATATTGTCGTATGTAATCTGATGTGGGAGTTACACTTAAATATTTACAGGTGCTCACATATTCATATATTATTTAGTAAGCCATTACCTCACTAGAGGGCGGAAATATAGCGCTGATCGCTTTGAAATTGTCCATGAGTATCCAGTTATGATCAAGGACAACGCCTGTAATTTTCGGTGATGATCCTATAATAATATTGGGATGAAGTGGACCAAAAATTTAGTTTTTTGTGTTTTTTCAAGTCGATCTATAGGTCACAATTGAAAGCCGAACATCGCAACACAACCCACGGTGAAGGGAATCTGGACAAGTAATTATAAGAGCAGTACTGAATATTGGTAATATTTGTTGATCTCTAGTTTCCCAAGCTCAGAATATGGAACCACAAAAAGTTAGACTTTCGTGGAAGTTGTGTAGGGTATCATATGGTCGGTCCCGTCCGACTTATCATTGGGAAGAAAGCCACACAAATAATCGATATTTGTCCATATTAAAAGTAAGGGAATTTCAGCATGTTTTTCAATCGATTTTATTAAATATTTTTGGTTCTCCTTGGGTGTCAAATCCTCCTACTAAAATTTGTCAGTATCAGTGCATGGTTTGTTATAGCCTCCATATTGCGGTACACCAATTTTTTGTTATTTGAATGAGTTAAGGCAAATCATTCTTATTAAAAAATTCCAATATCCGTCTATGATCACCTATATTTCCCATATGGTAATGGTACCGCCAAAGTTGCATTGCTTTGATTTTCCATACAAGTTTTTTCACCGAGTTGCCTCCAATTGGATATTTTGTATTCAAAATCTTCCTACAAAAAAACTATAAACAAATCTGTCCCTCTTTGGGTATAGTTCAAAATGAAGGTTCCCGTGTCGTTTTCGGCAGTTTCAAGGTATTAGCCAAAATTTATAATTTTTGTTTAAATAGTTACATGAAATGTTGAAGAGTAATACTTATATATATAGGTCTAAATATGAATTGAATAAAAAAAATTATAATAATTTTTTTAATATATTTTTTTATTTAAATACAACGTCGAAACGGAAACTTATGGTAAATTACGGAGCAAATGCAGGAATTCTATAAGCAGGAGGTGGAGAAATATAAGCTGGACCAGCATGTGGATAGTAATAATAGTTGGAATATCTTATAGCTGTAGCATCCCTAGCAGCAGCTCCAGCACCGGCGCCTGCGCTTGCAGTACCCCCAGTACCAGTTCCTGCACCAGCAACGTTCTTATTCATAGCTGCAGCAATAGCAGCGACCATATCCGCAATTTCTTTGGCAAACTGCTCGTTAGATATAGTGGGTGCCGCTGTTGTAGTGGGTGGGGCTTGGGTGGTTGGTGTGTTACCGTAATTATTGCCATATCCACCACCATAAGGACGCTTATTATAAAAGAATCTGTCACCGGAATGGGAATATGTTGGTCCATTGTATGTATCAACTGGCGGATAATAACCACTTGCCGGATAATATGCTGAGGCTGAAGGGGGATAGTAATAGGAGGGCTGTGACGGATACTGAGTGTTGGCTTCACGAACTGCATCATTTTTAGACTTGGCAGCTTCTATTAACATTTTTACCAGAGGCAAAACTTCCTTAAGTATTTCAGTTTGGGTTTGATGTAATTGCTGTTCTGTTGATTTGGTAGCAGGAGCAGTTGTTGCAGTAGCGGTTGTCGTCGTTGTACTTATTTCATCGAAACTACGGGAATCGTTGTGGTTGCTATCAACTTCATCTAAACTAAGAGAATTGTCGGAGTTGCTATCAACTTGAGGTACATCTTCCGAAAACACACAACTGGTGGTGGCAAGAACCAATAAGAACGTACACAGCAACCTTCGACACGACATCTTGCCAGTTTAGTTAACAGGGACTGAATGATGTCTCAAAATTCGAAATGTACCTATTTATACAGCAAACAGAAAGGGGTTACTCGCCACCTGTGGCATAGCCTTCCCACAGCAGGTAGAATGTTTTTAGAATACAAATCTTGTTTTTTCCCCATTTTTTAATCACTCATTATAAATTAATATAAAAAAGAAAATATTTTTCGGGGTTTTATTCGGAGTGAGTGTTGGGCCAGAAAAAGGGAAGGAGTGTAACCAATTAATTATTGATTAAATTTTAAAGGGATCATTATTTTTTAGTCGATAGATATCTGATTAGTTTTCCTTCGATAACTAATAGAAAAATACAAACAAAAGAATCGGGTCATATAATCAATAAACCGGTTCGTCTGTTTCAATTTTCATCTATGTTTTTTTAATATGTATCTTTTAATTTGATAAAAAAAACAGTAAGGAAAGTAGGAAAGTCGAACTGGGCCGACTATATGATACCCTTCACCACTTTGGGTATATTCTTGTTATATATTTTTATCTGTACCAATTTAAGGGAAACTTGCCAGAGACTAATTTATATTACTTCAGTACGTTGTGTCAATCGGCCTAGATATGGATTTTTTCACGAAGTTTAGCAACATCATTCTAGACTTAATTCAGTACCTATACCAAAAATCGTGCAAATCGAAAGATATATAGGGACTTTGGTGCACCAATTAAATATCTAAATCTGAACCGATTTTCACGAAACTTAGCTCACGTCATTTAGCCTACGCTATGAAAATTTTCGTGCAAAACAAAACATTTCCAGGGACTTTAGTGGACTATTTACCTAAAATCGGGCGAAGCTATATATGGGAGCTATATCTAAATCTAAACCGATTTTCACGAAACTTTGAACACATCATTCTACACTTAATTTAGTACGCTGTGCCAAATTTCGTGCAAATCGAAAGATATATAGGGACATTGGTACACAATTTACCTTAAATCGGACGAAACTATATATGGGAGCTATATCTAAATCTGAACCGATTTTCACGAAACTTGGCAGATATCATTCTAGACGAAAATATATATTGGAGCTATATCTAAATCTGAACCGATTTTTCCCAATTTCAATAGGGATCGTCTTTGGGCCAATTAAGTGACCTGTGCCAAATTTCATCCAATCGATTCAAAAAGTGATTCTATGCATATTCTCAAAAGGATTCGATTATTTTTGCCTGTTACAAACGTATGCACAAAGACATAATACCCTGTACCACACTGTGGTGAAGGGTATACAAAAAATAAGACATTCTATGAAAACTTTACAAAATAATTTCGCCTAATGGCTAGAGCTTAATAATGTACTCGATCACAAACCGTATTTGTAATCACCCTCAGATATAATACACTTATGCTAGCTTTTCTCCAATAGTGGAAATATTTTTTTGTTATACCCGCAGTCTTATGGCTAATGAGAAAATATTCACTTTGACCCCATGTTTCATTGGACTAAATTAATTTCACACAATTTTGAGTCCAAATGTCCGACCGTATGTCTTTTGTCTGGCCCACCGGCTGGTGCACTAAACTTTGCATATCGTAATATTGCTTCCAAACTTATTTCAAATTCGAAGGTGGTGAATATCGGTGCACTTCCTCCACAAAAAATATAATATCATGCGAACGGACTATCCGATTTGTACCAAACAAGTTTTAAGGGCCAACACAAAGGGTCAACATTTTCAATATTTATAAATCCAATATCAGGCGAATGGAATGTCCGATTTTAATTATCAAAAATTTTCAATATTTTTAAATCCAATATCAGGACCTATTATTTGCACAACCTATTATTTTTACGAAGCCTAGATCAAGTCCGAAGTAGGGACCCGTCTGCCCTTTCCTCTGTAGATTTAATTTGAATAACCGAATTGATAAGCATTAAATATGAAACCTTTTTTTATAAAAACATATACCTTATATTAAGCGAATAATAAAATCTGTATGTAACTCAGAAGACCTTCTCCGCAAGCCATAGGGTGAGGGAAAATATGGGAAACATTTTTTTACTTGTTTTTGTATATACAACAGCTCCCCTTACAATTTGCCTTCCATCTTCTCCACCTTCTTCATATATAGAACAATAAGGCCTACATATAAGAGACCAGGATGGTTCCGCATAGAAAATCACAAAATCTTTATATTGAAGATTTCAGGGCCTTCACATAGATCATCAAAAAAATATATTCGTATACCATTTTTTAGAGAGAGTCATTATATATTTAAATTAAAAGTTTTTCATGAGATAACAAAATACCAATGATGATGCAAAGCGTACCAAACATCCTCAAAATACCGAATATTTTGGTGGATCGTTATATTGGGGCTATCCCGAAACATGGGTCAATATTCATCATTTTTATTAGGACTAAACATTAAAAGTTACAGCTGATTCGGATGAAAAATGTGCCCTGCAACTCCAAAATACCGAATATTCACGGTAGCCCTCATATAACGCTATATACCCCGAAACAGACGAACATGGCTTATTCGACATAGAATTTTATTCTCATCAGGCCTTATACCGAAGTCCACAAAGTATAAACCATTGAGCGAAGCAGAATTGTCAAACGAGGCCGACCATATGATACCCTACACAACTACCACAAAAATCTAACTTTCTGCGGTTCTATATTCTGAGCCTGGGCAATATTTCGATATATTTACACTCTCTTAAACGATTTTAGGTAAGCAGCTTCATTTTCTAACCCTGGAACAAATCCCCGATTAGAATATTTACGCCTTAAAATAAAAATCTGGTCACTTTAGGTTTTGGTTTATTTGACCCTCGGAATATTTACCGATCATCATCTAAACAGCCGTTCGAAGTGTTTGGTCAGATACCCGTGTAAAATATGTGAGGTTCTGCATATAATATGGCCTCTAGAGCGACTAGAAAATCGGACAAAAATACAGTTTCATTGAGCCTCCTAAATATCATCTCAACATCATCGAAAATTATAGGCGTCGTCATTGACCATAAACGGAACTTCGTGTAAAATTTCAAAGCGATCAGCTCGAAATATCATAACACATAGACACCATTAAATATTTACGTATAACTCCCACATCCGAGTACGTGCAACAATATAATTGATATCTATTTAATGTCAAACACTCCTCTTGGATATACTATCAACTTCTCGGGACTATATCCTTCAGGAGTAAATATATGCATCATCGAATACAAATTTTGTTATTTTTCACACAAAAGTCCGGGTCGAATTGACCCGCTAAATATTGATAGATCTTTATCAAAATAGTCATGCTTGTTCTTTGGCGAGACAAACATAATGTTTTTGGTTCATTTCATCCCCAAAATATTAACGGATCATCGAATTGACCCGCTAAATATTGATAGATCTTTATCAAAATATTCATGCTTGTTCTTTGGCCAGACAAACATAAAGTTTTTGGTCCATTTCATCCCCAAGATATTAACGGATCATTAACAAAAAATAAACGTCAGAACATGCAAAATTTTGCGACGATTGGTCCATAACTGTAGCCTGTATCGTATTTACAAATTATAATGGACAGACGAACGCACACACATACCTAGATAGACTCAGCTAGCCGATATATGACAATAAGTATACTTAAAGGTGGGTCTAGGACCAATATTTCGCGGCTTTACAAACCCATGGGCTGCACAAAGCTATAATACCCTGACAACATAGTTGTGCAGGGTACAAACACTGGCCCTGAATAAAAGTCTTCGAGAATTTATATATTTTTTTTTTTTTTCAAAAAAAATTATATTTTCATTTTTGATGTTACTGCAATGTAAACACCAACCATCGTATTTAAATTGCCGTTTTGTTTCCACTTCTGTTCGAAATGGACACAGGAGCATGAAGAAGTATTGCAAATACCTATTGTTATGTTTACACTACAACTAGACTTGTCCACTACAGATACCGTTGATGGATGCAGATCGCACATGGAAAGTTGTGTCGATAATTAACCATGTCTTCATATTCAAGCTCTGAATATGGTACCACCAATACAATGACATTCCTTTAGCTTATAAGGATTATTGTATAAAATGCCTCCAGTGATGATAACTTTTGATTTCTTTGAAAATGTTATGAATCGCGGTGTTTCTTTTTTTCTTTTTCTTATGAATCAATCCAAAATTGACATGTAATTGTATTAATGTGAAGACGTGCTTTTATGTCATCATCACAATTGGAAGTTTTCGCTGAAATTTACACGTTGCTATTGTATAAACAAGTTGTATTTAATATTTATTATCATCATCATTATTATTGTGTTGAGACATTTATTTATGGTGTCACTAAGTAACGGACGACGTGATGGCAGTGTTGTCGTGGTTGTTTATTTAACATTGACAACAAATGGCATTCAAGTGACACAGATTTGGCCGTTGATACTTAATATATATATATATATATATATAGCGTTTCGTTTATTTATATATATATATATATATATATATATACTTCTTAGCCTATCAATGAAAGAGAATAGTTAGTTTTTCAAACACATTTTTATTTTTCAATATAATCTCCTCAAACTTCAAAATAGTGGTTTACACTGTAATTGCATGCTTCATTTGAGGTAAAAAAAAAACGATTGCCAGCAAGGTTTTTTTTGATTTGCTAAAGTAAAAGTCACTAGGACTAAATCAAAATAAGAGTGGTTTACTTTAATTCGTTGATTTTAGCCTTTATTAAAACACTCTTGTGCGTTGGTGCGTTGTCTTAATGAAAAGTTTTTTTTTTTTTGTTGTAAGCCAGGACGTTTTACTCGAATTTGTACATTTAATCAATCAAAAAGTTTGCAATAGTTCTCTGAATTTATTGTTTTTACCCTTTTTCAAATACCTTTGAAGTCCAAAAAAACCGTCGCCATTACCAGCCGATTGAATTGTTTTGCCTTCGTTGGAGCACTTGCTCCAGCTTCAGTTCAGTGTATACGAAAATCGCATGCGC